AGAGAAAACAGATCGTCAGGGTTTTTGTCTCCAAGAAATGGGTTTACCTTAACTTTGTCCCTTGTAAAGGGACTAAACCAGAATGGAATTGTGGGTACTCTTATCTACGGCTGGATGTACGGGCCCATGGATGACTCAGACTCATGCAGAGGGACTGGCTGCTTCATCCTAATGCTAGACGCTTGTGAACTTGTCTGAAACCCCCGAAAGAATCGTCTAAAAGATTTGGAGGGGTTCACCATCCCAGACCTGGCACTATTTCCCTAGTCTTCCCCTTCAAAATGCATGGGTCGGGTCCTTTTTTTTGCCTGTACCCCCCCCCTTAGCTAGTACGGCACCTGCTTTTGTCAGGCCAGTTCTATCTTGGTGCTCAACTCTGGGGTGCTTCAATATGGATTGGCTATGGCCAGCTTCTAGTGATCTCAGTTGGTCGATGGACAGCTTGTTTCGCAACAAATGGGTCAAATAGGTCGCTGGATTTTGCCACCAGGGTCTGTGCACCACTGTCCACTGGGTTGGCCATTTGACCTGTGTTTATCAAAGTGACGAGGCACATATTCTTGGAGCCCCGCTTGCACGACTCTGACTTGGCGATGTTGGCGTTCCAGATTTCTCAACGTTGAGTCACGGCTAACCTTTCAAACTTGCAGGTCCGTTGGGCAATGCTGGTGCTGTTGGCTGCACTAGGTGTACTGTTGGCTGCACTAGGTGTACAGTGGTTGCCTACAGTAACCCACATGGACTTCTTGGTCGTCTTGGTTCACCCACATACACCACAGTGACTATGTTTTTTTGGGCTGAACATACGGGTGTACGGACTTGCCACTCCCAAAAGGCACAATGCCAGCTACGTCCGAACCATGCCATTTCAGGCTGGCCGCTGATCTAGGACAGCTGGGAATCGAACGAAATCCAATCCGAGCTCACAGGGCTTCACATAGTCCCGAATGAGTGAGAGAGGAATATAAAAACAGGTCACAAAAAAGAACTGGTTGCAACCAGAAAAGCAACCAGAAGACAACGCTTGCAAGGTAGCTTCCTCCAGAAACTGCACTTGTGACACTCCAAGTCCCAACTTTGGGACGCCTACCAACCAACCCCACCAACCTTCCCCAATTGCCTGCACGAAACTTCGGCGAGGCTCGCCAGGCCCTGTCTCGCTAGGGCCATCGGCGAATCATATGACAGAGTTGATAGGCACATTCTGCGTGCGCATTTGTATCAATGTATACACATGTCTATGTATACATCAAAATAATGTCCACTGTTGCGGCTTGGATCCACGTGTGGATCCCCCTTTGAATGTTTGCACCGACCTGGTTTTGCACCCCCCCCCCCCCCCACAAACATGCTAGGAACTAGGCAAACAGCCGTACTCCAGATGTAACTTGGGTGATATTCGGTCTGGGTCAAACGCGGTTTCCAAGGCTTGAAACCTGTGCTTCGACATGGCTCGAAACATCTGCTCAAACTCAAAGCAACAGCCAACGGCTTGCTTCCAGGGTTCCAAGACGGAACCTAGTCAAGATGTGCTCCAATGTGCTAGGGGATCCTGGAAAATGTGCTGGGGGTCATGTTGGGCCCAAATGCCTGGGCGCTTCAAGCACCTCTGCTTGAAGCTTGGTGCGCAAAGAAATGCTGCGCCTCACTCGACGGTCAATTGGTTGATGCCCCTTTTTCGGAGAAAGCACGTGAAGCGCTCAAACAAGGCCCCTGTCTTTTCTTGAGCCTTTTGGCACATGTCCTGTCGTTGTCCGAATATGTCATGGTCAAAGCTCCTTGCGTGAGTCGGCCCTGAATTGCAAGCTCTGCCATGGTTGTTTAAGACCCCTATTGAGTGACCATCCCAACCACCCCCTCCCCCCTCCCCAAAAAAAGGGGGGAGTGGCTTTTGAGGATGGCACAAATGACAACTGAGCAGCTTTCGAGAAGCGCCGTCCTACGAAGTGCTACGGAAGTGGACAAGGCTGAACCCAAGTGTTAATCCTTTCAAAAGTGTACATGTCCGACATCATTCTATGTTGATTCCCTATGTTCAACAATCGCTCAGTTCAAAAGCCAGCACTTTTTCCCCGGGTTGTAGGTGGCTTTCTGGAAACAGGAAAGAATGGGGAAGATACGGCTGAAATAATTCCGCACGATCCTTGGAATCATGTTTGGAAAAATGGCGAGCTGCACCAGAGATAGTGCGGCCTCGGCACATGGAAATGTTCGCCATCCTGAAAATGGTGGCTTCCCTTTTGGGTTTCACTTGAAACAATGCCGAAACGGCTACCTTCAAAAAATTACCCAACCCATTCGGAGACCAACTCGTGGACCCGAGAGCTTCGGAAGGCGAACAACAACAAAAAAATCGCCGCGCCTGTCGTGTCATGGGGCGCCTGGCACAACGACCAGAGATGACGACGCACCCCACGCGAACTCGGGTTGATGGTCGATGCCGCTTGAGTTCACGTGCTAAATGGGAGATTACGTTCAAAGCCTAAGCATTACAGGTGGACTCTAGAGATTCCTAGATTGGGCGCGGGGGGGGGGGTCTAGAAAATCCAAGCCAAACAGAAATCTATCCAGTTTCGAAAGGGGTCCAGGAACTGCCAACTGCCTTTTGGCCGGGAAGTGGGGTTGGATCGCTTACGATTTCTGCTAGAGGTTGATCCCTTAAATTTGCACCTCTGCCTTTGAACCACCAAGCCTTTCACATCCCAGGCTTAAGCCCGGCGTCACTTGCAGCCAACACCTCTGAGCATCCCTAATGTCGCACCTAGCTGTTCCACAGCATAGGATGGTCTCAAATTGGATGAAAAGGAAAGCGAAAGGACACCAAACACATGCATTCGCCAGATTGTTTGAGACACCCATCTAATTCAAACCTCCACCGCCAAAGCAGGATGTCTAAGTGTGCCGCAAAATGGAAGTTGCAAAGTTGCGAAATGTAAAACATGTTTCATAAAACTATGGAACGGTTCAAATTTGTTTCAAAGAACACATATCCCTCATTATTTTTAAGCATCGAGTATGCTAACACAATGAGCTGCCAAACCTACTAGGGACAGCTTTATGAGTATAAATAAGCTTCAACAAAAATCACGTCCTTCCGCCAACCAATATCAGGACTTTGGTGGGTTGAAAGGAAATGATGGCTGAAGTGGGGGGAAGTTACCTCAGAATTCAGGCGGCCAAGGGTCCAGTGGCCACGGAAAAGAAGCGGCAAACCCCTGAGGCCCTGCTTTCTGGTAGGGTTTTTTGAAGGAGCCGTTCGGTGGAGGCCACCTCAAGCGACCTCCTTTCAGGTTCCCAACGCAGCAACTCAGTCGGATCCTCCCCAATTCGGATGGCTGTGAAATGGCAACGCCGTTGTGCCTTCCATCTCCGAGGCCCCCAGTTTTGTCGCACTCCCTGTCTGAAGCAGACATGGCCGCGGGGCGGATCCCGATTTTCTGCTCGCAGCTTCGTGCCGGCCACCGGCTGGCAACTCTCCTTTCGGCGCCCGCGTTGCAAGACTTCAGGCGCTGCATACGTCGGTCGCTTCGGATGCCATCAGAAAGGCGCACACCTCCATCCACTCCTCGGATTAAAAAAAAGAAACGCGCACTTGGGGGATTAAATGCAAGGGAGTCTGGTGGTGATTATGGGGCTCGTGTCGTGTCTTCTTTCTCGGGACGGTTCTCTTGCTTTTGCCATCATGATGTTTTGTGCCTCTGTTCGTCTGCTCCAGTTGCATTGACACTTCAGGGCTCGCAAATCAAGCTCGAGCAGCTCGGCCATTGCTGGCGAACGTGTTCTCGCTGTGCCAAATTGGTGGGCGAGGGGGAACCCTTTCTTTGGAAGTTGGTTGGAAGGAGCAAACGGAACCTGTTTCTCACGTGCCCTATGGTTGGCAACATTCAATTAGGCAAACGCTGTGGTTAGAATTGGTTTGCCAGCAATGACTAAGTGGCGATAGGGCTTCCAGTTGGAAACCATGAACCCAGCTTTATGAGCCAAATGCGAAGCGCATATGTCGTCAGTGATCACGTGTTCCGCCATCATGCACTTCATGCAAGGATTCGCCAAACAGTAGGGAAGTGCTTGGCAGTCTGCTTCCTGCCTCCAAGCGGGAGATAGTTTCCTTGCGCCATGCCAAGCAACCTTAAAAGCCTAATGTACATGCGCCTCTCCTGGAACAAAGGACGCCTTGTTGGAAGATGCTGAAGAGAACCCCGCCCCTCAAAAATGGAACAGCTGCTGTCAAGGGGTGGCTGCAACTGAACGGCCAACGGTTTCCAGCCGATAGATCCGGAAAAAGGGGCAAGGGGAAATCAGGAAAAAGAGCACCCCTAGGCATGAGGAAGTTGGGGCGTGTCTCCTGAAGCGCAATGGAACAACACTTCGGACGCGATTTAAGGTCGCACAAGACAGGGTTCGCTATATGTCTCTTCAAAACATCGCCCTGCCAAGGGAAACTCACCTTAGATGTGCCAAGAAGTGATGTTTACACCAAAATGAGAAAGGAACAAAGGGACCCCTGCAATAACAGCAGAGCCGAGGCTTGCACCAATTTCCCGATGAGCATCTTTCTCCGTCGTCAGATCGGACTTCTCGCAGCGGGTCAGGCCTGACGTCCGCACCATCACAACTCCAGGGCCTTCTCGTCATTCTCCTCGGGGCGGAGACCTGTTTCGCAATGTTCGGACCATCAGTGTTCAGACATGTTCCCTTTAGGTTCCCTCAAGGGGCTGAGGGCCCGGGGTCTGGTTGTTGAAGCCAGTTTTGTCCAACCCTGAATATCTTGGGGCAAAACATGCAATCGCCGTGTACCAAAAGGCCGAAATGAAACATGTTGTTCACCCTTGAACACTCAGATTTGCCGGGATGTGGAGGAAGCCGAGATACAGGAGGATTCCCTTGGAACCAGTTACCTTCAAACTAAAGTGCACTTTTCAGAACCCTCCACATCCCTCATTTCCATGCTCATTGGCTTCTCCGACGCTCCTCGGTCTCCGTATCCTCGTTGCCCAAGA